CAAACCTAAGCGCACCGACTGGGGGTTCGGCATAAGGTATACCCAAAAACTGGTCAACACTTGTGTTCAACACATCTATAGTGAGACCTCTCACTACACCTGATGTCGTGTTCACATCAATACTATTCGCACATTCAATGCAAACAACTAAACACACGAAACTAACTAATAAATTAAACTTGTTAATAATCATGATTTATAACTTGTACATGAGTTATAAAACCTAATACTTAATAGACTAATCAACATTCATTTATATACTAATTTAAAACCTAATCTCATTTTATTTACTAATATCTAAGATATATTTGAGATACAGTCCTTCTCTAATGCTTTTCACTTTCGGTCAAAACCTTTTCACTCGAGTCCTTTCGGTCAAAAGGTTTTCACAAACCTGTCGTTTCGGTCAAAACTCTTTCACAAACAGTCAAAACATTTTCACTTCTCTATGGAGAGCAACACTAATGCTTAAGTTATTTAATGCAATATTGAATAAAATTCTTTCTATTTATGATAAAGTTTTAATTTAATAGTTATTTACATTATTTAGTTATATTTTATAATTTTTAAAACTAAACACTAAACACTATAGCAGCACACAACTTGTATTGTTTTCTGCTACAAAACTAGTATTAATCTATAAATAACACATTGTTTAATCAAGATCAATATAGTAATTAATAAATGAGCTTAAAAATTAATAAAATAATAATTAACAATTAGAATCACTTGTCATTTAGTCTACAAAGTGTTGCTCTCCATAGCGAAGTGAAAATGTTTTGACTGTTTGTGAAAGAGTTTTGACCGAAACGACAGGTTTGTGAAAACCTTTTGACCGAAAGGAGACTCGAGTGAAAAGGTTTTGACCGAAAGTGAAAAGCATTAGAGAAGGACTGTAATTTTGAAGTCTAATAGATGACAGAATGAGAGAGTACAATTTACAAATAGGCGTACGTTCAAGGATGAACTTAAGCGTGATCCACAAAGTACATACGCACGCCTAGTGGGAGGGGGTCATGCCAAAACGGCGTGAAATTTTGTCTAAATTTTGTGGATGACGCCTTATTTAATAAATAATTAATAACTATCGATATTTATCAAACACCTGCTTGATGTTTAATTATCTGTTTATTTAATAATAAATTACAAATAATAATTTTTCCAAAAGCCATCACAAGTGGTGTGAAAGGGATTATCCAATACTCGACTCATATTCCGTGGATTCAAATCACACCCCTCCACACCCCCTCCATACCCTCCCACCAGTTTACAACAAAGATAGGAACCGAGACGATTTAATTGATTTCTCATACAATTAAAAAGCCATACCCCCAGCTCTTACACCAAAATTTGACCCAACAAGCAGTTTACTGGACACAGCAACTACACCCATGCCTACTGCACAACTACCTAAACGCCGATATGTTGGCCATTCTACTACAGAGTCACCATAGCAACCTCAAAATTGAGGTCAACCCAACTACTATTTTGCCACAACCTCCAGGTTTTCCATGCAATCATTTAACGAGATTTATCGGAGACACAAACGCTTGAATTTAAACCGGCGATAGGCACTAGACCTTGCTATAACTGGTTACGATAAATACTAATTGGTGAAACACAAATTGTGTAGTTTTACTATTGATTATCATACTAAATACATGTTCTGTAATACATGACAATTTTTAAACAATTCATATCTATTTAAAGATTTTAACAAAATTTTAAATGACATAAAAGTGCTGTTGGAGTGAAAATCAAACACAAATTCTTCGGGAATCAGATCCACTTCTAAAGACAGCACTTCCGCATACAACTCATCCTATTTGTTACGAGACAGTGGTTGAGAAGGTATGGAAAGGACAGTCAGTTGTGTTTGAGTTGTACTTAAACTTCATTTGTTTGTCACTTAACTACAGTGTTTAAATAGACACGAGGTTAGCTCACCTAGTGTACCAGTATACACACTTTGAATATGATACTGTATTTGTTTGATAATTAGTTTAAATAAAAAATATCAAGCAATATTTTTTGGTTTTTACATTTAATAAACAAATATCAAGATTACTGCAATAGTTATTTATAAACTAGATTATTAATTAATACATTAAAAGTAGTAGTCTTTCCAAAATGTATCGCATATTGCATGAAATGGATCACTCAATACCCGGGTTGTATTCACTGGATTTAAATCCCGGACTTTTACCACATTATTATCCAACAGTTGCGGCCAAACCTCATCCGGTTTTCTATCATTTTAAACACATTTAAAAATTATAAACTCATTAATTAAACGACAAATTCATAATTCAATAGCAAATATACCCATATTTTGCAAAATCGGTCCACATTTTCATAACTTGTCGACTGAGGAGGACGTCTTCAGGTTGGAATAATTGTGGTAACCTTAAGGGTAACCCAAACACGTACGGGATATCCATGCCATGACATACACCCATAGTCTGTGGGTCGCAACCAAACAGTTTGGCCGCCACTTGGTTCTCATACGTGAGTTCATAAAAGTAGACATTTTGTCGGTTTTTGACGATAGTCTTGAACTGTTTGGCGAACAGATATGTCGGACACTTCATGAAGAGGTCACCGAAAAAGTCATAGAAAGCCCACCGAATGGCC